ACAGCAAGAATCACACATATCCTCTTGCATCGTGTGTGGTTGACTTTGCGAATGGCAGGTCATGGACTTGGTTTTTTCAACAATTACGTATGATAATGTCTGACAGTGATGAGTTGTGCATAATATATGATAGGCGCAACTCTATAAAGAAGGGGATTGCCACTATTTACCCTCAAGCACATCACGGATTCTGTATGAGGCACCTTGGTGAGAACATAAAACAAAAGTTTAATTGTTCTGGCCTCCTTTAGATATACTACATGTCAGCAAAAGCTTATCGGGTTGATGAGTTCGAGGAGCACTTCCAGCAAATCCGAATCAAAGATGATAGAATTACTAAGTATCTTAAGCATGATGTTGGCTTCGAGCGATGGAGTAGAGCTTACTTTCCTGGAAAAAGGTTTGATGTCATGACTACGAACATAGCCGAGTCCATAAATTCGAAGTTGCTAATAGAAATAGAGTTTCCAATAGTTTCACTTTTTGATGCAATCCAAAGGACATTGTCACGGTGGTTCCATGAGCGTCGTACGGAGTCAGATAATTTTACTACAACCCTTGTTCTGTCAGCTGAAAAATTATTGCGAGAACGTATGAAACTGTCAAATGCACTGTTTGCCTATCCTCTTAATTCTCAAGAGTTCACTGTGCGCTGCTATGGTCCGAATGCCCTAGTTAACCTTGTTAGTAAAACTTGCAGCTGTAAAGTGTTTGACATTTAACGTTTACCTTGTCCTCATGCACTAGCAACACTAAAACACCAACGGAAGCCGGATTTTGGTTCAAGAATTTACATGGAACTTTGCTCCCTCTGTATATGGCAAAACACTATATGCTAGCTTATTCAGAAACGATATATCCAGTGCCTCTAGAAGAGCAGTGGGTAGTGCCGCCAGAGTTGGCTGACATTATCATCCATCCGTCATTCAAGAAGATAGCAAAGGGGAGAAAAAGAATTGCGTATTCCATCAGCCTCTAAGGTTCCTCAAAAGATGAATAAGTGCTCAATTTGCAAGTAACCTGGCCACAAGAGAAGCAGTTGCCAGAAGTAATCACATGCAGATCCTGAAAATTAGGTTCGAAGAAGGATGAAATTCAGGGAGTTGCCAAGGCCAACCGTTGACGAGTTATTATTTTCAATTATTGATGTTTTCAATTTTATCGTTACCTTGAATAAATAATTCTTTATATTTAGTATTCTTGTTACACGGCCTAAATATGTGTTGGTTGGTGATTTTAGTTTTGAATTAGGTTGTCAAATTGAGGAGAAAGCATGGAATTAATATGTGTTGGTAATTTTAGTTTGTCAAAAATCAGGAGAAAAGATGGAAAAGTATGTATTGCCTAAGATAGCACGGATTGCTTAGGCGATCGTGCACCTAGGCAGATATTGATTCTGCCCATCACATGATCACTTACGATCGCTTAATCGACCAAGTGAAAAAAGAGAAGAATCGCTTAAGCAATATCATGGATTGCTTAAGCGATCATGCACTTGGGCAGATATTGATTCTGCCCATCACATGATCAGTTAAGCGATCTACGATTGCTTAATCGACCAAGTGAAAAAGAGAAGAATCGCTTAAGCGATATCACGGATCACTTAAGCGATCATGCACTTGGGCAGATTGATTCTGCCCATCACATGATCGCTTAAGCGATTCTTTCAGTCGCTTAATCGGCCAAGTGAAAATTTCACCGTCTTCTTCTTTATCCATATCTCAACTCTGAAGCCATTTTCTTGCTCGAACTCTAAACATATAGAGTGTACGATTCGTTCAGTAGAACTTGACCGTTATTATATTTTAATTAAACATATAGTTCTTGTACGTCTATATCAAACATATATGGTGTAGAATGTTTACTCCTATATTAAACATATAAGGTGTACAATTCGTTCAGTTGACTATGACCGTTATTATATTTTAATTAAACATATAGTTCTTGTACGTCTATATCAAACATATATGGTGTAGAATGTTTACGTCTATATTAAACATATGTCCATAAACTTGGAAAAGAAATATGGTAGTAAATTACCCTTAATCACTTAAGCGATCCTGTCTATTTAGCAGGCGATCCCTTAAGAAGGTTACAACAGTTATGCTGGAAACCTTATTGTGATAACAGGAGCCATTGTTAATTTCTGAAAAATTCTGGCACTCTCATGGTCTACAGACTACAGAGCATATGGTTACAGGGTTCAAATTTTTATTATTATTATATTTTAGTGTTAAGCGAGACATTAAATCGCTTAAGCAATTAAACGAATTTCCTTTTGTAGAGGCAATCAAGGATCGCTAGATCTTTGGGTCGAACAGAATTAGATAATCATGCAAGCTTAGTGAACATATTTTCTTCTTCTTTCTTCATAACATAAAGGGTGCGTTTGGTTGAATATTCCAATCCATATTCCCAATCCTATTCCTAAAATATTTGTTTGTTTAATTATTTAGGAAATATTAGTATATTTTTTTAATTATTAAGACCCTTTAAGTTTATTAATTTCATTAAATACCCCCAGAAAAAAGTTTAAAAATTAACAAAAACACCCCTACCCACCCATACTTGCCAGATTCCGGCAACCACCGTCAGTGGTAGCTAGAATCTGTCACCACAGCTTACAAACGACCGGAACATGTCGGTAATTCACCGATGTGGCATTTTCCGGCCAGATCCACAGTGGATCTGGCCGGAAAATGCTATATGGGTGAATTACCGACATGTTCTGGTTGTGGATCTGGCCGAAAAATGCCAAATCTGGCCGTCATAGACGGCCAAAGAAATGGCCGTCGTTGACGGTCAACGACAGCCAAATCTGGACTTTTGCGGCCATCAACGGCCACATCTGGCCGTAGATCTGGCCTTTTCTCTCTAGATCCGCGGTCAATGTGGTCGAAAAAGGCCATATCGACACCCGACGGGCCAGATGCGATAGGTCTGCATCGTAATGCCCTTTTCCGGCCAGATTCTGGCAGTGGTGGGTAGGTGGGGGTGTTATTGTTAAATTTTAAAATTTTGTCGGTTTTTATGAAATTAATAAACTTAAAGGGTCTAAAAGTAATTAAAAAAATAAACTAATATTTACTAAATAATTAAACAAATAGGCAGGAATGATTATTGCACAATACAAAGGAAATTAGGCATGTTCGCTTAAGCGATGCGAGATATCACTTAAGCAAATCATGACTTATGTATATAGGATCGCTTAACTGATATATAAAATTGAATTGTGTAACAATATGCTCTGCACTCTGTAGACCAAGAGACTGCTAGAATTTTTCAGAAACTTTTAGACTATTAACAATGGCTCTTGTTATCACAATAAGGTTTTCAGCACAACTGCTGTAACCTTCTTAGGCAACGAAAGCCAAATAGACGGGACCGCTTAAGTGATTTAAGGGTAATTTACTACCATATTTTTTTTCCAGTTTATGGACATATGTTTAATATAGATATAGACATTCTGCACTGTATATATTTAATATAGACATAAAAGAACTATATGTTTAATTAAAATATAATAACGGTCAAGTTCCACTGAACGAATCGTACACTCTATATATTTAATATAGACGTAAACATTCTACACCATATATGTTTGATATAGACGTACAAAAACTATATGTTTAATAAAAATATAATAACAGTCATGGTCCACTGAACGAATCGTAAATGGCTTAAGCGATCCTGTATATTCGGATTTTATTTATTGTATTTCAGAAGATCGGTTAAACGATTAACGCTATCTTAAATATATAATGTTAAGCAACTAAGTTCTTTTCGTTTTGCATAAACAAAGAAAGAGCGAGTAATGCCTCATGAAGTTGAAGGGTTTAAGAGAACTAGGTAACCATGCAAGGTTAACGTCTTTATGTGAGAAAAGAAGAAGAATATATGTTCACTAAGCTTACATAGTTACCTTCAACCCTTCAAACTTCATGAGGTACTTCTCGCTCTTTTTGTGTTTATACAAAACAAAAAATAAAAACTATATGTTTAATATAAATATAATAACGGTCATGGTTCACTGAACGAATCGTACACCTTATATGTTTAAGATAGCGTTAATCGCTTAACCGATCTTCTGAAATACAATAAATAAAATCCGAATACACATATCGCTTAAGCGATCCTGTGTATTTAGACTTAGTCGCTTAAGAGATCCAGTGTTATTTATAATATCGCTTAAGCGATCCTAACTTTTTATACTTGGTCGCTTAAGCGATTTACGATTGCTTAAGCGATCATGAGCAAAAAATACACAAATGCCCACAAGGACGATAGCTTAAGAGATCGCTTAAGCGATGACTGCGGACATGGCAGAATCATTTGCCCAGACCTATAATCGCTTAAGCGATTGATCCGTTTGTATCGCTTAAGCGATTCTTTGCTTTCACTCTTGGTCGCTTAAGCGATCTTTACTGAGGCAGAATCAACATCTGCCCAGATCTATGATCGCTTAAGTGATCCTTACCTATCGCTTAAGCGATTCCTAACTTTTACTCTTGGTCGCTTAAGTGATTTCAGATCGCTTAAGCGATCTTTTTCCAGGCAGAATCTTCTGCCCAGATCTATGATCACTTAAGCGATCCATTTGTATCTCGTAAGTGATTCTTCGGAAAGACTCTTGGTCGCTTAAGGAGCGATTTTTACCGAGGCAAAATCAACATCTGCCCAGATGTATGATCGCTTAAGCGATCCTATGAATTGCTTAAGCGATTCTTCGTAAAATAACTCTTGGTCACTTAAGCGATTTTAGATTGCTTAAACCATCATTTATGGAAAACTCTTGGTCGTTTAAGAGATATATATGATCACTCATTTACGTAATTGTTTGGCACCATGGTTGTCTTTAAGTTAATTAATTTCAAAATGACTGTGATTGGGATACATTTCTACCTCACTCATTTCCCTCCCAAATCCGAAAAGAATTTGTATCGCAAAATTAAGTAATTTATATCAATCTAATTCATCACAACTCAAAATATAAAAGACATCAATATAATTGAAAGCTTAAAGACATCAATGTAATTGAAAGTTTAAACTTAAAATCATCCATAATAGTGTCGAAACACAATAATTCCTAAGACATTTAACTCTAATTCTGATTGTAATAAAATTTCCTCCACCCAAACAATTACAAAGAAGAACCCAATTCCAAGTATCATTTTTTGTACTATTTCCCTTCCATACATTCTCATTTCCCTCTTGTGACCTGCCAACCAGCCTCTGAGAAGTGTTCGAATTATGTTTGTCAAGAACTTGTCTGAGATCATTGTTTGGTACCATGCCTTCCCAACAGCCTTGATTGCAGATGCCTCCTCCTGCCAACCAGCCTTTGAGAAGTTTTCGAATTCTGTTTGCCGGGAACCTGTTTGAGATCATTGTTTGATACCATGCCTTCCCAACAGGCTTTATTGTAGATGTCTCCTCTTGCCAACCAGCCTTTGAGAAGTTTCCTCTCATTGCTTGCCAGGAACCTGCGAAATTATTCGGCACACACCTACAGACACGTTAGCTTTTGTAAATTAAAAAAACATGTAAAAAGGTTATAGAGTGCGAGATTGAGAAGTTCACTCAGTTTGTCTCTTTCGATAAAGCTCCATATAAGCATGACACCTGTAGTATTAACACCACAACCCAAGTATCAACATCAACATCACATAGACTACAAAATTCAAAGTCCAACTTTCATACCTTTTGATTGGGTTCTGGTCACTTAAAACGGATCCATATGCCCATGGAAGCACTCAACAGCCCAACGCTCCCGATAGTTACTCATTGTTTCGTCATTCAACCTGTTCATCGGGGTGTTGGTCATGTCGAACTGAATAAATTTCAAGGCATATGCCCCACATTTAGCACTACAATAAGAAAAAGACATTATCATTAGAATAAACTTATAGAACAATTGTATTATGTAAGTTAGTTTTATATAAAATTTACCTTGACTCATTTATTGAGACGGTAGAGCGCTTAAGTGGCCACTTTCCGGTTAGTACTTAATCACCAAAGTGCCCAAACATCCCGCTGTCATGCAACAACTGCATGATCAACCTGGACAATGGCTCCAACTCAATCTCCAACTACTTGCTCGATAAATAGTTAGGTTGCAGTCAAGGATCTTCAGCAACCCCTCCTCTAGATGCGCGACGACTGTTATCCAGTGCATTTCTGTGATGTTGATAATGTAGTATACTCTTTTAACCATTGCCCAACCGTGGCCATATTTGAGCCTTTCCCTCCTTACATACTGCATAATCATGTCATCAAACTTAAAATCATCAGGGATGCAGTCCAACTGTTTTGGGCCAATCTTTTTCGCTTCGCTCCTTTTGTTACACCTTTACCAACAACATTTTTAATTAAAGTGCGATATGTCGAAACAAGCGTTTGGTCAAACGCCACATCGATGATGGTAGAGTCGGGATACAATAGATCACCATCACTAGTCTGTCACAGCCTCATCAGTGCCAACATCTCATCGATGTGCTGCATCAAGTAAAAACAACAAGATAAGTATGGAAAACATAGGCAAAAATAAGGAAAATTAAGCGAAAATAACTCACCGGGTCCTCAAGCCACGTGCCCATCGTCAACAACTTTTCAAATCATTCCCGGGGATAATCCCCTATCTTACACTTTATATGGGCATTACTTCCTGATTCATTGTAATAGACATATAAGAGTTTTTTCTTTTCCTCTATTGGTCTATACAAATCGATATTTGAGTCTATTTTCGCTTGCCCACTTCCTCCCCTTTCCTCCATTTTTGCATCCCCACTTCCTTCGCCTCCCACCTCGCCCTCCTCCATTATCACTGCCCTACTTCCTCCACCAACCCCCTTAACCTCCTCTATTTTTAGTTCTTCTTTCATTTGTTTCTTAATTTTCCTCTTCTTTACCTGTGTCACTACCATGTCAGGGGATTTGACAAACTTGTTCTTTTGGCTCTCTCTTTTCAGCCCAGTTTGCACTTCAACCGCCTTTAATTCTCCACCAACTTCCTTCTCCACTGTACCAACTTTCTCTGCCAGCTTAACACTTTCTCCTCCACCATTTTCATGCGCTCTTCCATCTTGTCAAACCTGTCATAAACAGTTGTTGTAAAACACTCAAACAAGCCGTTTATGGGGTCAACCACCTCATTCTCTCGATGCCGATGTCTCGGCAAAGCGATACTTGTTGTACCGGTTTGCTAAGGCATACGAACCTCTTCCTCCTCTCCTCCTCCTCCTCCTCCTAAGGCCTCCTGCCGATTGGAGCTTCATCATCCTCGACATCAACCACGTCAAGCAGTGGCCCTACAACTACCGTCACATGCATAACCCCTTTTAGGTCCCGCATCAGGCAGTCTATCCGTTCATCCCTTTCATCCTCCAGTGCTTTAAAAAATGTGACATAGTCATCTTCCGCTTCATACCCAGTAGTAGTGAGAAAGGGACGAATGACTCCCTACAATAAGAAACAAAATCAATCAGATTAAAGCGACATTTTAAAGCAACTGCATATTCAAAAGCTTAATCCTTTAATCTTACCCTAGCCGCTTCAATCTCAATGTCTATTTAGTCGTAATCCTAATAGGTACACCTCTCGACATGCCACCGCAACATCCTAGGAAATTGCTGTTACACATCCCCCCCTCCTTAGCGAAGACAGGAATAGCCTCATACATCTAAGCCTACATTATAAAAAAACAGTCCATATCATAATTAAAACACATATATTACAAAAAATATAACAAAAAACTATTAATATTTACCTACATTGCCCGTGGAAAGCCAAACAAATTGTACATGCTTAGTTTATCCTTCCCGACCCATTGGGACTGCTTTAACGTCATGTCTAGTTTTTTCAGGCTCTTGATGGTTCGCTCAAATGATATCCGTCCCCACGGATAAGAATTAAAGAACTCCAAGTCGCTTGCAAACAAAAACCAATCATTCTCAACAGCTTTTGTTGAGTCACCAACCAATAAGATCGAATGTAAAAACAATACCAAGCACATTTTTATCTTCTCTCTATCATTAAACCGAACTGTTTCTAGCCTCTTCTCTAAAACGTGTCCTATAATACACTTTACCCCCTGCAAAACTTTCTTACGAAACCTTATGGCTCCCGGACTCTTCCTTATTGCGTCTACCTCTGGCTTATCTGGCAATTTCCCACATCCTAAGCCCGTCACCAAGGCATATTCCATCATCCCAAAATGTAGTGGCTTTTCATCCACCACGAACCACATTTCTTTATTTTTATTGCATTTTACAGAGTGCAGTAACATGTAATGCACTCCCTGGCCCCAAAACGCCTTTTCCCAATTTGTTTCGATTCTTAAAAACCGACCGAAACAAGTGTCTTCGAAATCTCTTGCACCATGCCTCATTCCAGCTAAAATCTCCTTTATTCTGTCAAAAACATCCCAACTTGACCTGACTGTCACCCTTGCAGGGAAGGAGGGTACTTTATTGCTTACAAGCTCCAACTCATAGTCTCTATAGTTTACGGTCTACACAATCGATATAAACAAAATATCAGCAACAAAAATAAACCAAAACAACTAATAAACCAAATATCAGCAACAAAAAATTACCTCTGTGGTCGCTTAAGCGATTCAAAATCGCTTAAGCGACCAAGAGTAAACTGAAAGAATCTCTTAAGCGATACTTAAGCGATCTTATATCTAAGATGATTCTGCCTCGGACAAGATCGCTTAAGCGATCTGAAATCGTTTAAGCGACCAAGAGTAAATTGAATCAATCGCTTAAGCAATACAAATCTTAGATCTGAGCAGATGATATCTAAGATCGCTTAAACGACCCTTTGTATCGCTTAAGCGACCATGAGTAAAAGAGATTAATTGCTTAAGCGATACAAATGATCGCTTAAGCGACAGTACAGAGCAATACTACCAAAACAAATAAGTACCCTTTCTTCGTCGGCCTCCTCCTCGTTGCCTAAATCCTCGAAAGACTCCTCCTTGCCTGAATTCTTACCGGATTCCTCCTCCTTGCCTGAATTCTCGCCTAACTTCTCCTCTTCAGAACCGTTTTGCGATTCTTCTCTCTGTTGTTGTGCCGTCGTCGTCTCCTCCACCTGTGGACCACCTTCATTGATCGAATGATCCACCGGAGCAGCCATTGAACTGCTTGCGCCACCGGAATCTAAGATTCGAAGTGGCGTTGGGTTTTCCTCTTCATTGTGAGTGTCAGCCATGATTTTGGATTGAATTTATTGTCAGAATATGCAGTTTCAATCGAAAATGTGGACTGTATAACAGAAAATCACACAGATTTCGTTTAGGGTTCAAGAAATCAATTTTAGGGTTCCAGAAATCAATCAAAAATCGCAACTGTATCACCAAAAATCGCGACTGTATTCCGTTTAGGGTTCAAAAAATTGCTTTTAAGATTGAATATGGTGTGAAAATTTGCAAGTTCGATCGGAAATCGCAGTGTCTCTCTTTGGTTCAAGAAATAGCTTTTTGCCTTAATGAATTTCGATTAAGCGAGATGAAAAAGTGGGGCTTGTTTTGTAAATTTCAAATTTTAAAAACTTTTATTATTTTATTCGGCCCACATATGTTTTAATCTTTTCATTTTAACCCATTTTACGTGTTTAATGAATCCTAACCATGCCACGTCAACTTCTCTAAATTAAAAAAAAAAAAATGAAAAACATTTTCAAGGCCATTTTGTTAAATGGAAACTTGGGATGGTTGCGTAGCTAAATTTTCTCGTTTTATTACTTATTTTAATTATAAAAGATAATTGAATTACTAAAGTACCCCTACGCAGTTCATTTAATATAATGGAAGTTAGTAGTTGTGGAACCAAGCGTTACTTTCTCAATCTACTAGACCTAACTGTCACTAGGTCAAACCTCAAGAACCAAAATTAGTTTCCTCAAGCTTTAGGTTTAGGAAACACAGAACATAGAAAGTTGTGTTATAAGAAAGTACAAGCTCATTACTAAAGTAAAGAGGAAAATATAAATGACAGAAGAGGAGACTTACCTTAGGATCAAAAGCAAATTTTTTTCTACCCAAAGTTGACATGAACCCTACAGGATTCAAATCAAACACATAAATTGAATAACCAACGCCTTAGATAATAAAATAGTAAATCTGATTACTAGAATAAGTATTAGGACAGGTAATACGACTCAACAAGTTCAGAGAGGAAAATGACATATGATACTCGAAATCCAATATTAAGGGTCCATCTCAATTATGACATCTATACCTCATATCAAACATAGTATAAGAAAAAAAGTATTGCACTCAACTCCATATACAACCTAAAAATTCTTTTTGCAACAAAAAAGGCCAAATGCCAGCTTCCTCCAAACATTTACAAAACTACGACAATTCATGATGTAGCTAATAATATGAGTACATGAAAAATTAAAGGCTAAAAATGAATCATGACACTTTTTCACTGAAAATTTAATAACACTACAAAACAACTTATCAAGGACAAAGACCAATGAAACAGTGGTGCAATACGTAAAATAAACTAAAATGGTTTAAAAAAAATCAAACTACTAATGGCATCCAACTTAAATCCGTAGCTAATGATATTACATAAATCAGATGTCATACAAACTAAAACTGTTCAGTTATGATAAACTCCAATAATGCTTCTTGTTACAGAGTTGAAACAAGATATTGAAAAATGATCAAACACAGGACCAAAAAGATATATGTGCCATATAGATAGCTCACTTGTATTTAAGAAGAACATTTTGCTGAAGGATCTGAATGTTTGTTTTGGGTTTTCTCAATGCATAAAGGTTCTGGACAATGAAGTCAAAAACCTGCAAAACGATGAAGATAGTCACAATGAATTCTTGTGCCCTTGTTAGCAGACAAAGGTGCAGTGAAGAAAAGTTCACTGCATGGTCATCTGACATCATTTACTTCCCTTCCTAAACTATCATCATTGTTTTCATAAGAGAAGTCATAATTCTAAACCAAGCTCGGGTGAACACCTAGGAACACCATTTAACTACCTTTGAAACTGCTTTCCGCCTCAGTTTTTCACGCTCCGGCTGAACATCTGCTTTTGAAGTTTTAACCAGAAGATCCACTTCAACAAATTTTAGCTTCTTACTTAAGATCTCAAGTGTTCTCATATACTCCTCGTTGACCTAAATGAAAATTCCACTGAAAATATGTCAGTATGATGAAGGAAAGGAAAACCAGTAGCTTCCACATTAAAGAGGATAACAAAGCAACATTTATGGTGAACAAGGAAATACTTGAGGACATATGTGTGTGTATCCATGTATAAGGTGAAATTATGGAATTTGACCAATCATAAGTTACGATTTAAGAAATGAACTAAAAGGAACAAGTGAAGTCTAGATCTTTCAATAAATATGATTTAAGCTCTAGGGGCTAGGGCACTTCAAAGAAGAAAGAAGACTAAACAGAGCAAAGGAGTACATAAAATATTTTATATCTTTAGAAAGAAGAAATGAACATAGAGTTCAAAGGAAGGAGTGTTCAAAATAGAAATGAGCTAAAACAATCTTTTACCATCGTCAATTGGCTATATTTCAATTTCAGGTCTGCATCCCATCTAAAATCGATAAGACTTGTACATAGCCTTCATGAAAACCCTAAGAACAAGTATTAGTATTGTAAAGCTTTTCCAAACAAAAATGGTAACCAATAAAACCTTTTTTTTTTTTTTCTTTTTTGGGTTAAGATACAGTATAATGTTTTTTGCTATACAGTAAGGTGAACCATTGATCCATCACAAGACGTACAAAACAACAGTGGTAAAAAAATGCCCAACATTACAGGACAAAAGCCCACCACTTTCCAAAGATGCCAAATAAAGAACCCTGAAATTGTTTAGTTAAAAAAACCTAAGCCCACAAGAAGGAAATCTCTCCTATAATTGCATCCTCCAGAATCCTTTTCCATCCATATTATCCAAAGGGTTGCAAGCACTAACATTGCTATAGAAACTTTTAGATTTTCTGTCCCACCAAAGCACAGAAATACTCTCAAATCAGAAATATGCAAGACTGATAACGACCCTCACCAACCTAGCTGACAACACAAGATCAGTGAGAAGACAGATAATATTATTGATACTCTCCATCACCTTTACACACAAACATACCAGTGATGACATAAGTAAAACACGATACATTTCTTTGTAACTACTATAACTCATGCCCTCCCAAGAAAAAAGATATATTAAAATCTATATCGATCAAAAACTGAATCATGACAAGCACTTGCACACATAAACTTCGACCACATAAAGAGAGCACCACTAACCCGAGAGACCTTTAGGAAGAAAATATATGAGCAGTTGCAAAATGAAATAATAAAACCATCATGTTTAAATGAGAATCCAAATAAACAACAAAATACCCCTCCCCTTCAACAATTATATCTACCATCCTTGGAGTGATTATAATGTCTTCAACAAATTTTGCTAGTTTTGACTCTGCCACCTGTTCAAAGAATATAACCAATTGCCACATATATTCAGAAGATGGAAATGCATGAGAAAAAAATAATAGTATTGACCCAATGGCATAAAAATCATTTCCCTTAATGAGCAACAAATATCTACGAAATTGAAACATAAGGTGCATATGAGAACAACAATTGAAACTTAGAGCTTTGTATCCTCGTCAGTCCATATGTTGATAATCCACATGGCAATTGCTTTCTAATCAAAACAACCAAATAAAATATCAACACTTTTCTTGCAAATTCACATGAAATAATTTATTGTAAGAGGGAAAAAAAAAAAAACACTTAAGAGGCCCCTCTATAATCCTACTATATAAAAACAACACCTTTTGGATGTAATATACAAATTTTTTTTTTTTTTTTTGAGAAGAAAGAACAAAGAGAATACTATTGATTGAAACATTAATGACAGAAGAGTGAACAAATTGTCCCAAAAGTTAGGATCCATTAGAGGATCACAAAAAAAAAAAAAAAAAAAAAAAAAAAAAAAAAAAAAAAAAAAAAAACCACCTAAACAACAAATGAAAAGCTCAAGACAATTCAAAAATTAATGTCAATAGTACAAAATTAACCCAAAACCCCTTCCCATTGATTATCTTGCTTAATAAAGTACTTTAAAAGCATAAGTTCTTTTTGTAGAACTACTGATGCTGTAACTTAATTTATTAACTATCTGAGCAGCATATTCTCAAAAATGATACTCATAGGCATAGAGTTTGTCCATGTTCACCCCACACACACCAAGAAAAGGGAAAAAGGTGGGCACAAATATTTTAATAATAGAAAGCAAGGATTAATATTTCCAATACAGAACACATATGATACAAAATTCTGAGGACAAAACTAATTTTATTAAAATAACAGAACTGGATGTCGCTCCTTGACAACCATCACAGCCTCCATTAAGATTAAGAATAACAGCAGAATTTTCTAGGATACAAAACTTCCCCAATAGAAACCATACCTTGCGATTGCTCAGCTTCAGACCCATATCCATTGACTTCTCCTGGAGTATTTTTATGTCTGTGAACTTATAGAACCAATCTCAGACTGGAACAAAATTTCTAAAAATGTTAGTACTCCTCATCATACAAGATCCAACTAAAACAAAGAAAAACTAAACAACATTACCAAGACAACTAAAAAGCTAAGCAACAAACTGTAAATAAACACCAAGAAACCAATTTGAATAAATTGATGTAAGCAAAGAAGAATGAATGAGAGAGGATAATATTTGAAATATTCCTGAATGTTCTTATCCAAATAAATGAATAAAGCCTCTTATGTGCGATTCTCAGGTGCTAATAATGCTTGTATCATGGATCATTATTTTGGTATCATGTATGATACCAATGAATTCATATCCTGGGAGGGCTAAATTAGTAGACGGTCCTTTTCAGCATTTTTGTGTAAAGTGGATGCTAGCTCTCAGAACTTGAACTATGTATGTGACATTTAGCAGTGACTTTTGCTATTGCAACAGGCTTTTACCATTAGTCATGGGTATTGTGATATAAACCGAAAGTAAGACCATATTTTTAAAACTTCTTTCTTCAAGCAGCAGCAAATATGAGGCTAGCAGTTCTGTCAGCTTATACCAAGCAATTCTAGAAATAGCATCCCATTGGTAATATGTCTTTGTGTGTCCTACAAAGTCCCTAAACTCCTAATTTTATTGTATGGAATGATTCAACAGCTGTGACGACAATAAGTATTTTAGCATCCAGCATTCGTTGTTACACAGATTCCTGTCAAGAACTCAA